CCATCTCCCAGGATATCTAGTCAGGCTGACCACATTATACAATTACCCATTTACATAATCTTTCATTCTCTTTTTCCCTCAGTCAGCATTATCAATACACATACAAACAAGCAAGACGATAATTTATGCCAAACAGACAACATACAGTATTAATATCCCAATCATTCAATCCATAATCAGTAAAATAGTAAAATATGCACACGAAACTATAAAATGAAAATATCAAACCTCATGCTGAATTTAAAACTGTAAAACAGGCCAAATAACAGTTAACCGACAAACACACTAGACTCGGGCTCCATTAGCGACCTTAAGCAATTTCACACATTCGTTGATTCATGAAATACCGTTTTATCATTTATTGAACTTTAATACCGTGATAGGAAATAGAGTGAGGGGTCCTTACTCGTTTCGGGGTCCGAACACGGCTTCACAGTGCGCTTGCAGGCTGTCCCTAATTTTCTCTGAATTTTTTCCGCGGAACTGAAACGCACTACTGGTATCTGCACGTGTTCCAAAAAATCCCAAATTAGGCCCAGGGCCCATTTCGGCCAATATCGCAACTCCGGCACGGCGGCTCCGCCGTGCTCCGGCGACGCGGCGGCGGTTCGCCGCGGGTTGGCCGTTTTCGGCCATTTCCGGCCGAATTCGGCCACACTGGCATTGGTTCCTGCGATAAAACAACCCTATGGCCCTCGGGGGGTCGAAAATTTACGGAAAACCGAAGCTTACCGGCGGTGGTGCTCTCGGGTGCGGCGGCTCTCTGGTGAAGTTCGTGTTTTGGTGATTCGGCTCCGATCAACCTGTAGAGAAAAGAATGGTGATCACGGTGATATAAAAATTGCATTAAACGGAGGCCGGAAAGGGCCTCATCGGAGGCAAAAACTGAGGAGGGGCGCGGCGGCGCTGCTGGCTTTCGGTCGTGTTTTCCGGCCGTTTGGCCGGGATTTTAGCTCCGATTTGACCACTGGAGAAATCAGCATGGAAAAACGAGTCGGGGTTATGAAATTTACCTCGATCGGCGGTCGAAAATCTCCCCGGTGCGGCGGCGGGTGGCGGCGGCCGGCTTCTGGTTCGTCTTCTCCGGCGAGGGCAGGCGGCTAGGGTTTTGTGGTCTGGTGTGGGGGTTCTATTTATACCATTTTGCCTTTTGATCTCAGCCGTCCATTTTGATTTAATCTGGGCCGTCCGTTTTTGATTGAATATGGGCCGTCCGTGCGATTGCATCTGGGCCGTCCGTGCGCACGCTTGATCTGGGCCGTCCGATCGCGTGTACGCGGATCGCCGACGTGGCCCGTCCCCGGTCGACGTGGTTTTGCCATGTGGCAGGTCCTGGTTGGCCAGGACTGCTGACTGGGTCTGCTGACGTGGCTTTTTTTTTTTCCCCAATTTCTTTCCGGGCGTTACAAATTTTTTTTTGTTTTTTGCAAATATAAAATTTTGTCCATTCCAAACACTTAGGATTTGTGATTTCAATTGAAACAGTAGTTTCAAATTCAAAAGTTAATCGTATTATAATAATTTTACATAACGTAGGATTTGATCTTTTTGAAAGTGATAGTGAAAAAGTTGACAGATAAATCACTCTTGTTGTCACCCTACAAAATAATACATGAGATATCGTACGCCTCATCATTTAATTCTTTCGAAATCATTTAGTTATTTTTCTTGTTCAATAATATCCTCTCTTCTTCCACTCTATTCCGAACAGTAATTATGACAAATTCAGTTACGTTTTCGTGTTTCAAGTGAATATTTTATATTTTTAATTATTCTTAAAATATAAATATTTATTTACTAAATACTTATAAATTTAATCACACGATCTTATGATAAGAACAAAAAATATTTATCGATCAATTTTTTTTACCCCTAATTTATTGTCTAAATTATAATATTTCATATGAAACATTAGATATTTTTATAAGTTAATGTATTTATTTTTTAAAAAAATAATATCGTACGAAAAATATTTATTTTAATTAATAAAATAATTAAAAATCATAATAATAACAGTCAAATATTAAAATTCCACAATAAATAGGGTTTGACTCAACGGTTATATCTACTGTACTGGATAATTAATTTTGGTTATTAATTAACATAAATTTTATATATATATTATATTATATTATATTAAAAAATAATAAAAATTTATTCATAAAAATAATATAATAATAAACATATATATAAAAAATAAAAGATTTATTTATAAAAATAATATATTTATAAATAAATATTTTAAAAAATATTCACACTTGGTAATTTTTTAAAATATAAATAGTTTAAAATAATAGTAATAATAATTTAATTTAAAATATGCTTTTATTTAAAAAAAAAAGAAAAAAAAAAGCTTTTATTTTCAAAACTCTGGGCCTAACGGCCCACGAAAAGGGTCTGTTACTCATTGCCGCCTTTCGGCCCTTTGTATTCTCCTTCACGCCGAATGGCACATTTTGCGTTTTACTGGAGTTGCAGGCTCTGCATAGTGCATGACTGTATGTATGTAAGAGAGTTTTCAGGAAGAAACCTCCATTTTCTCCTGATTTGAAAAAGGTAATACACAAACTTACTGTAAAACTAAGCGTTTCTTTAGGCATTTTGGATATTTGCTCAGTTACTTACTCTTGCTGTACGGGTTAGCTTTCGGATGAAATTTAGGGATTCCTCGTCCTTGTTTCACGTCAAATCTGTATGTTTTAGAATATTTATGATCGTTTTGATTAATTTCATTACAGCGAAGTTTAATGTTTAGTGCTTCGCTACAGTTTAATGTATATGTTTTTTTGA